GCGCTTGGAAAATATGCTGCGGCTATCGGACAAGAGCGTTTAAAGAATCCTACAGAATTGCTCAGAGACCTTCCTCATATTGAAAATATTGATAAAAAAGCTTTACTTGACAGATTGAAAAAAGAAGTTAAAGCTAGACAATCTGTTGAAATGAATGAAATGCATAAAGAAGTTCGTGGTGGTGTTGCCGCTCATGTACAGTCTGCTGTTGATAAATTGGATCAATTAATTGAAGAATGAAAAAAAAAGCGTAAGAAATATGTGATGTCTTCATGATTAACTTATTTAGTCGATTGTAATATAACATGAACAAAAAAAAACCTGAATATTTCAATCTGCGTGCAACCGATTTTATTTACATCACATAGTTTAGAAATCAATTAAGACGATGTAGGATGTACAAAGTGATTTTTGAAAAAAAAAAATATATATATATGTCTTGAAATTTATTCGAAAAACAAAAGGAAAAAAAAACTTTTGATAACGATGCCTTATGGAGATTTAGTTGATGAAGTGTTAACACTTTAATTGACATCGAGCAGTTTTAGTTACAGGAACTACTTGAATCGGGCGAAATGTCGCATTAACTTTGATTATACAATATTACAACGGTCGTAAGGAAGAAGATTTTGAAGAATTGAAATTACATTTGAAAATGATAATGTTATAAAGGGTAGCTCAATACTTTCAATTATGGATGTACTGTAACTATAAAGAAGATTCCAGAAATGCTTACGAATCAGTTATACGATAAAAATAAAAATTCCTTTTGTTGCATAAATTGATTGATTTTATTTTCTTTTTTCTTGGAAATAGTTTTAATACTAATTATTTTATTATTATTAGAATTTTTTGCCTTTATATAAGAGATAGGTCGTTAATATCGTTAATTATATTTTGAAATTTAAAGTACTTAATAAAAATATTGTAATCATTAAATCTCTCCTATCATATTAAAATTATAATTATGGATAGATTTAATAAGTTATTAATTATACCTTTTTCATATTTTTATCATTTGGACGCTTTGCAGTAGAAAGGGAGAACTACCAAAAAAAATTTTTTACTAAATGATTTTTTTTAGTAAAATTAGTTCAGATTTAACATTAATTCAAAGAAAAAATTTTTTGAAGTTTTCTATTTATTATCTTACAATTGTTAATAATTTTTTTTTAAAATTAATTAATTTTATTATTATTATTATTAACAAATAAAATTTTTTTTTTTAAATTTGATTTTTTAAAATTATTCTTTTTACTTCTTTATTTTATATTCTATTTATAAATCATAGATCTTAATAAATTAATAATCAGAAATTTTAGATTTTATTTCTTTAAATTCTTCTTTCTTTTATTATATTATATATTATTTTTAATTTTAATTTTATTATTTTCTATTTAATTTTTATTTTAATATAATTTATTATTTTTTTATATATATATATATATTTATTTATTATACAATAATCTAGAAAGTAATTTAAATATATTTTACTATAATAAATATATATTTTAATATCCCTTAGATAGTAAAGGTTTGCAAGTAAATTTGTCTACTTATTTATTAATCTGAAGCGAAGTGAAAAACTTTCATATACTAGCCACATATTACATAAAATGTCTCATTGTCTGCCCACTCAATAATTGAGTTGATGCTGATTGGCTTTTGCAATTTTTTTAATTAAGATCATTTTGGGTTTAACAATGATTTATGAAACCATTTAACATTAATTCAAAGAAAAAATTTTTTGAAG